GCCGTCGGCGGTGAGGGCGAGGCTGTGGAAGTATCCAGGCTCGACAGTGACGACACGCTGGCCAGCAAAGGCCTCGACCTTCTTCGGCAGCAGCTGGTCCTGCTGGTCGCCGTGGCCCAGCTTGCCGCCGACCCCACTGCCCCAGCTCCAGACAGAGCCGGCGGCGGTGAGGGCGAGGGCGTGAGAGGACCCAGCTGACACAGCGACGACACGCTGGCCAGCCAAGGCCTCAATCTTCTTTGGCAGCAGCTGGTTCTGCTCGTCGCCGTGGCCCAGCTCGCCAGAGTAGCCACAGCCCCAGCTCCAGACGGCGCCATCGGCGGTAATGGCGAGGCCGTGGTCGGTTCCCGCCCACACAGCGAGGACGCACTGGCCAGCAAAGGCCTCGATCTTCTTGGGCAACAGCTGGTGCTGCTCGTCGCCGTGGCCCAACCGGCCAAAGCCTCCCCTGCCCCAGCTCCAGACAGCGCCGTCGGCGGCAAGGGCGAGGTTGTGAGAACCTCCAGCCGACACGGCGATGGCGCGCTGGCCAGCCAAGGCCTCGACCTTCTTTGGCTGCCACTGGGCCTGCTGGTCGCCGTGGCCCAGCTTGCCATCCTCTCCCCAGCCCCAGCTCCAGACGCTGCCGCCGGCAGTGAGGGCGAGGCCGTGCGCGATTCCAGCCGACACGCTCACGGCGCGCTCGCCGCCCAGCGTGGACGGCAGGCGGGTTGGGGTGTTGAGCCGCGTCACGCCCTCGCCGTGGCCGAGCAGTCCCGGCGTCCAGCTCTCAGCCTTTCCGCACGACGAGAGCCGCCCCTCGCCGTCGATGAAGAGGCTGCGTTGTTCGCCTGCCGCCGCCCTCGCCGGCGGGTTGGACTCGCGCAGCAGCGCAGCGAAGCACAGCCACCGCACGGCGCAGCTCTCGCCCTCTGGCAGCGCCGGCAGCTCGAAGCCGCGCTCTTGCGCCCACAAGCGGATGCCCTCCTCCGCGAGAGAGGCGTGGAAGAGGCGCGAGACGGCCGCGACGCGAGCGATGTCGGCGGGGTCGCAGCGAGAGAGGGCGCGCAAGAGGAGGTCCGTGGGGAGGTCGAGGAGGCGGATGAGCGGCGGCGAGTCTGGCGAGGGCGCGGCGGTGGACATCACGAAAGAATTCTTTTTTTCCGACTCAGGGATCCGCAGCGGGCGGGCCTCGTGCGGCTGTTTGCACAGCATACTTCTCCCGGCCGTGACACTGCCACTGTTCTTCGGAAAAAGAATTTTGGGTGTACCCCGGCGCCGGTTTCGCGGCCGACTTTGGGGGCGAGTCGGTGCTGCACGCGCCTTTTTTGGGCACGTCAGTCGCTCAGCGACTTTCACGAGCCCTCGGCCGCCGGCCAGGCGCCAGCCTTGCGATCTCTGCGACGGTGACGGTCCTCCTCGCTGTCGTCGCGCTTGTGGCTGGGAACTTCTCCATCGCCGCGGACAACGCCGGTTGGTACTCGCGAGGCACCACGCTGGCGGACCGGCACGTGCAGCTGCTGCGGCTCTTCGACTGGGAATGGACCGGCTCTGAGTACACTGGCTGCTTTCCCTCCATCAGTGCTGACTGCTGGGCTCAGGAGCCGAGGCGCCTGTCAGAAGAAAAATGCAAAAAGACTAGGAGCTCCGACCTCACGGTCATTTACCGCGCCAAGCAGAGCGACGCGGACCTCCTCTCCCCCGAACTTCTTCGACAGGTGTGTGAGCTGGAGTCGGAGGCTATTCGCGTTCTCCGCGCCGGCGCCTGCCAACCACCCAGCAGCGGCTGCTCGGCAGTCCGCGGCGGCGAGTGCCTCGCGCCGGTCAGTGTCGTGTCGCTGCTCCGGGACTCCCTCGGGTGGGAACTGGCGTGCGCCGACCTCGCCGCCGACCCCGCCACCGTGGGGCTCGCCGAGGCGTTAGGACTGGTTGGCTACGACTACACGGCGGACAGCCCGTCCACGCGCACGCTCGCAGCCGTCTTCCCTCTCGTGAGGGACAGCGCCTTGGACTTCCTCTTAGAGGTGCACCACGCCGGCACCCTCCGCCTCGCGTCCGCTGACGTGGACACCGCCTACGGCATGTGGCGGCGTGACGACTTCAGGGACGCAGTCAGAGACGAGGTGCTCTTCTCGGACATGGCGCTGGTGTACGGCTCGCTGGTGGTGAGCCTCGTCTGCGTGCTCGCCTACACGCGCTCGCTCTTCCTCTCGGTGGTCGGCCTGCTGCAGGTCTGCTTCTCCTTCCCGCTCGCCTTCTTTTGCTACAGCATCGTCTGCCGGCTCGACTTCTTCCCCTTCCTCAACTTTCTCGGCCTCTTTGTCATCATGGGCATCGGCGTCGACGACCTCTTCGTCGTCGTCGACAAGTGGAGCCAGGCGGCGCGCAGCCTACCGCCAGGGTCCGACGTGCCCACCATCGCCGCAGTCGCCGGCCCCGACGCGGCCTTGACGATGCTGCTCACCTCCCTCACGACTGCCGCCGCCTTCTTCGCGACCGCCGTCGTCCCGGTGGCGCCGGTCCGCGTCTTTGCGATCTTTATGGGCTTCATGGTGCTCGCCGACTACTTGCTCTGCCTCACGGTCACCTTCTCCGCCGTGTGCCTGCAGCACCGCTGGCTGCAGCGTGCGCCGAGCAGTCGGCGCGCCCGTTGCCTCCTCTCGCTCCTCGACTTTTCGCGCTGCTCCTCGCGGCCACCGCAAGAGGCGGCGGCGCCGCGGGCAAGGGTGCTCGAGCGGCTGATGAGCGGGCCCATGCACATCGCCGTGCACCGTGGTCGCTTCGTCCTGCTGGTCCTCTTCTTTGCTGCTCTCGGCCTATGCGTGTGGCAGGTGGCGAACATTTCCCCTCCGAGTTCGACCGCGGTGCAGCTCCTCCCAGAGTCGCACGTCGTGGAGCGCTACGAGACATGGAAACAGGACTTCGCCGAAGAGGACAGCTCGGAGATGTTTGTCGTGTGGGGCCTGACGCCCGGCGACACGGGCGATCACAACAACCCGGAGCTTGTCACCGACCTGCTGGCGGACCTCGATTGGGACCCCTCCAGCCGGGAGGCGCAGAGGTGGCTGCTCGACTTTTGCAACGCCACCGCCTCCGACCCCGCCGCGCCGCGCGCCACCGACATCGGCTGTCCGCTGCGAGATATGGACGGTTGGCTCGTCGACAGCGCCGCCGCGGGACAGCCTCGCTGTGGCGGCGCCTCGCGGCTGCCCGTGCCGCCGGACGCCTTCCACCCTTGCGTGGAAGAGTACCTGTCCTCAGAGGACAGGTACTCTTGGTACAGGGGCATGCGGACGTACAGGGGCAGGTTGGTCGCGCTCGTCGCTAGCTACAAGGTTGTCATCAACTTTGACTCGTCGTACGAACAGGTACGCGACACTGTCGACGAGTGGGAGGGGTGGATGGACACGCAGAACAAGGGCGCGCCTGATGGGGTGCGCGGCGGCTTCTTTACGAGCGCACGCGTGCACTGGTGAGTGGTGACCAGCTGCGGCTGCCTCCCTTCTCCGAGTGGAACTAACGATTCACGGATGATGAATTAGGTGGGACACGAACCGAAGCATGCTCTTGGGTGCCTACTACTCCATCGGGGCGGCGCTTGCGGTCGTCTTCGTCGTCGTCCTCCTCGCGACGCTCAACCCGCTGACCACCGTGTACGCCACCGTCTCGGTCGGGACGGTGCTGCTGCTCGTCATCGGCACGGTCCTGGGGATGGGGTGGGAGCTTGGCTTCCTCGAGGGCATCTGCTTTGCCATCCTGATCGGCCTCTCGTGCGACTTTGTGCTGCACATGGCGCACGCCTACACCTCTGCGGACCAGCCGACGAGGGAGCTCAAGTCGCGCGACGCGCTGGCGCGCATGGGGCCGCCCGTCTTTGCAGCCGCCATGACGACGCTGAGCACCGGCCTGGTCATGTTTGGATGCACGTTCGTCTTCTTCTTCCAGTTCGGCACCATTCTCGTGCTCACGATGCTCTACTCCATCCTCACCTCCCTCTTCTTCTTCCTCCCGCTCACGAACGCCGCGGGCCCCACAGGCCGCTGCTGCAGCCTCGCGCCGCTCTGCGCGAAGGGGCGGGCGTCTGGCGGTGCAGACAAGGAGGCGTCGACGCAGCAGGCGCGCGCCGCAGAACCTGAGACGGGGCAGATACGTCAGTCTTTGTAGCAAGCCGCAGCGACAGAGTACCGTAGTGAGACCGGGGGCCCTGGGAGGTACATAGGTCATAGTTCGGCACTAGTTCCGTCTCGTGCACGTGCCGCCGTCTTTGTACAGTGTACAGTGTTTGATTATTTAATGTGTTCCTCCTCTGCGCTGTTTTGTGTTCTTTTGAGGGAGCTTTGTTGAGAGAGAGAGAGAGATTTTTAGCAATACTCTAACACTGTCATTTGGGGCCTGGAGCCCTGTTCACTCTGTTTTCTTTGTTGTAAAACTCTTTTGAGAAGAAGAAAGAAACGATCCAAGGGCACCTAGGGCTGCGTTGAGGGAGGAGACAGCAGACAGAGTCGATAGAGTTCGACCAGATAAACCTTGTTTTTTGCAAGGGCGAAGATAGGTGCTTTCGCGAAAATTCTTTTCCTTGTTGTTGAATTCTTTTCCTAGCGTGATAGGCTGCCTGCACACTCTCAGCACCCCAGCTCAGCCTGTTCGTCGACACGATTCCCATGGTGGACTCCGACGCTGTGGCGGAGGCTGTCCGCAAAGAGATCGAGCGCCAGATGGTGAGCACTGCACGCAACCGCATCCGCCCGTGCACACTCGCACCGGACGGCCGTCGGATCACCGGCGCCACGTCGCCGTCGCCGCATCCATCCCGCCTCGGACCCTGAGATCCCCATGATAGGCGAACCCGGATTACGACACACTGACGACGGAGGAGCTCAAGGAGGCAATCGGCGCGCTCAAGGGCCGGCTGGAGAGCGCACTGAGCGCGCTCACCCGCAAGATGGACCCATCGGCTTCGCCAGCGTCCGCTGCCCCTGCCATGGGAGCCTCGGCGGCGGCCTCGGCGAGCGCATGCGCGGCCCTGTCGGGCGCGTGCGCACGCGGATGCTGCGTGTCGACCTCATCCTCGCAGGCCAGCACGCGGGCGGCACGCTTGGGGCTGGAGGGCGCGACACCGGGCGCGACACCTGCAGAGCTGCTCTCTGCGCCCAAGTCCGAGGGCGAGTTCCCTGACCTTCCGTGGGGGACGCCGGTGGACGCCGACAAGGTCCGCGACTACCTTACCAACGCCATGCAAGAGCGCGTCCTTGTCCTCGACGGCGCAATGGGCACCACCATCCAGCAGTATAAGTTCACCGAGCAGCACTTCCGCGGCGACAAGTGGCCAGACTGGCACATCGACCTCAAGGGCAACAACGACCTGCTCGTCTTCACCCAGCCGGACACCATCCGCGACATCCACCGGCGCTACTTCCTCGCGGGCGCCGACATTGTCGAGACCAACACCTTCTCGGGGACGACGATCGCGCAGGCGGACTACGACATGGAGGATATCGTCTACGAGCTCAACAAGGTCGCGTCCGAGTTGGCGGTGGAGGCCGCCAAGGAGGTGACCGCGCTCGAGCCCCACAAGCCGCGCCTGGTCGCGGGCGCCATCGGCCCGACCAACCGCACGCTCTCCATCTCGCCCTCGGTGGAGGATCCCGGCGCGCGCAATTGCGACTGGGACGGCGTCGTGGCGGCGTACAAGCAGCAAACGCTCGGCCTGATCGACGGCGGCTGCCACATCCTCATGGTCGAGACCATCTTCGACACGCTCAACGCAAAGGCGGCGCTCTTCGCGATCGACGAGGTCTACGACGAGCGGCCAGACTTGCCCAAGCTGCCGATCATCATCTCGGGCGCCAGCGCTTCCCGTCGGGTGGAGCCTCCCCCCTCGCTTCCGCCAACCCGCCGCCGCCCCCTCCGCCCCCTCCGCAGGCACGATCGTCGACCAGTCCGGCCGCACGCTCTCTGGCCAGACGACCGAGGCCTTCTACGTGTCGGTCCAGCACGCCAAGCCGCTCGTCATCGGCCTCAACTGCGCGCTCGGCGCGGCGGGGATGGTGCCCTTCATGCAGGCGATGTCCGAGGTGGCCGAGTGCTTCATGCAGTGCTACCCGAACGCGGGCCTCCCGAACGCGATGGGCGGGTACGACATGACGCCCGATCAGTTTGCTGAGAGCGTCAAGCCGTTCTGCGAGCTCGGCCTCACCAACATGCTGGGAGGCTGCTGCGGCACCACGCCGGAGCACATCGGGGCGCTCGCCAAGATGCTCGAGCGCGAGCGCTTCAAGCCACGCGTGCGCCCCACCAAGCCGCAGCACATGTGGCTCTCGGGCCTCGAGGCGATCGACGTGGAGGCCAGCCCGCGCCCCGCCCTCGCCGCCGTCAGCTGCCCCGCCTCCGCCGCCCCGCTGCCAATCGCCGCCGCCGCGGGCCCGCCGCCGAGCTCGCCACCGCCAAGAGACTACCGCCCGATCGCCGCCCACCCCGCTGCCTGCCAGTCCCACCCTCGTCACCGCCCCCATCGCCCTCAGGCAACGGGCTCCTACCTCAACATCGGCGAGCGGTGCAACATTGCCGGCTCGCTCAAGTTCAAGAAGCTCATCCTCAACGGCGACTACGAGAAGGGCCTCGAGATCGCAAAGGCGCAGGCGGAGGGCGGCGCGCAGGTGATCGACGTCAACATGGACGAGGGCCTGCTCGACGGCGAGTTCGCGATGAAGAAGTTCCTGAACATGCTGATCCCCGAGCCCGACATCTCGCGCCTGCCCATCTGCGTCGACTCGTCAAAGTTCCACGTGGCGGAGGCGGGCCTCAAGTGCTGCCAGGGCAAGTGCATCTTCAACTCCATCTCGCTCAAGGAGGGCGAGGACGAGTTCATCAAGAAGGGCAAGCTCGTCAAGCGGTACGGCCCGCTCAAGCTGCTCAACGGCGTCGTGGCGCGCGGCCTCGCTTCACGCGTCCAGCCGCGTGAGTAGGTACGGCGCCGCGGTCGTCGTGATGGCCTTTGACGAGGAGGGGCAGGCGGCGACGTACGAGGACAAGATCCGGATCTGCAAGCGCGCCTACGACATCCTCGTCTCCGACAAGGTCGGCTTCCCGCCGCACGACATCATCTTTGACCCCAACATCCTCACCATCGCCACCGGCCTCGCGGAGCACGACAACTACGCCAAGCAGCCCGAGCAGCAGCCCGAGCAGCAGCCCGAGCAGCAGCCCTCACGGCAGCCCTCACAGCAGCAGCAGCCCGAGCAGGGGCCCTCGCAGCAGCCCTCGCAGCAGCCCGAGCAGCAGCCCGAGCAGCAGCCCGAGCAGCAGCCCGAGCAGCAGCCCGAGCAGCAGCCCGAGCAGCAGCCCGAGCAGCAGCCCGAGCAGCAGCCCTCGCAGCAGCCCTCACAGCAGCCCTCACAGCAGCAGCAGCCCGAGCAGGGGCCCTCGCAGGGGCCCTCGCAGCAGCCCTCGCAGCAGCCCTCGCAGCAGCCCGAGCAGCAGCCCGAGCAGCAGCCCGAGCAGCAGCCCGAGCATCGCCCTCGCCGACGCCTTCGTCAGCGAGGCATCCCGGCGGGGCGGCCGCTACAAGACTGGCAGGTGCAAGAACCACAAGTGCTGGCGCGAGGCGATTCGGTTCGTCGCAGTCAGCCAGGAGGGGGCTGGCGCCTTCCTGAATGCGATCCCCATGCGGGATGATATGAAGATGGAGACGTGGGCGATGCGCATTACAGTTCAGCGCCGCCTCGGCCTCCCGCTCGATGTTGCCTGCCAGGCGGTGGAGGCGGGCAAGAAGGCGCCAAACGGCAAGCCGCACGAAGAACTCGGCGATGCCGCAATGGTCAACCCGCGTGCGAAGCACGCGACACGACACAAATACCTGCTCAAACGACTCGTCAAGACCCTTCGCTCGGCGTGGGGCATGCTCATCGAGATGGAGCCGACTGCACACCTCAGTTACAGTAACCCAAAACAACCTGACGTGGCGGCGGCGAACATCGGCAAAGGGCATGTGCGCCTCGTTGGCGACTTGAAACTGACGAGCTCGCTTGCGTGCAAGGGTGGCGATCGGCTCGGCTGGAAGGGGGCTTTTGTCGCCTTCGGCAACACCGAGCGGGCGCTGCTCGACTTAGTGTTAGGGCATGCTGCATGGCCGCGGCCGGGAGGGGGGGGGGAGGGGGGGAGGGAGGCGGAGGATGCAGAGGCGGAGGCGGCGGCGGCGGAAGAGGAGGAGGGGGAGAGTGAGGGGGAGGCGGAGGCGGGGGCACCTGTGACGGCCCGCTACGAGAAGGGCGAATACCGGTTCGCGCGGGAGAAGAATTGCGACCTGCGTTTGCTCGACTTCGAGACGTTCGGCGGCTTCGGGGACGGCGTCCGCAGAATTCTTCGGCAGGCGGCGGACCAGCTGAGTAACAAACTTTCGCACGCTCAGCACCTCGATGAGGTCACATGGACCACCAAGAACTGGCACGGGCTGCAGATGCAGCGCTTGTCTGTCGTTCTCCACACCGCCGTGGCGTGGCAGACGGTGAACGAGCTAGCGTGCGGGGACAGCGGCATTGTGCACGGAGCTAAGTGCATTGCCGTTCTTAACGGAGTCGCTTAGGCGGCTCCGGTGGTGTGCCGGTGATAGTACTAGCACGCGCCAGTTCGCACCTGTGTCGAGCCTGTCTGCTGTGAGAGAGAGTTCTTTTGTTTAAATTCTTTTCTGCTTCGGAAGCACATACCTTTCGACGTGATGGCCTCCCACCGCATCGGCGCCCGCCTCTCGGGCCTCAACTCGGAGCAGCTGCTCGTAATCATCAAGGAGCAGGGTCCCTCACGCTCGCAGCTGTGCGCCATCATCGAGGCGCAGGCGGGCGCGAGCGACGCCGCGCTGCGCGTGGCGGAGGAGCACGCCGCACGGCTCGTGGAGCAGCCCGAGTGGGTGCTCTCCGAGGTCCTCCTCTCGCCGGACCTCGCCCCGCACATCCTTGCCCAGCTGCCGACCAAGGCGCACGCCGTCAAGGGGACGTGCCGCGCGTGGCGCCGCGGCTGGAAGGAGACGCTGAAGAAGCGCGAGAGGCCGCGCCTGCTCGTGATCGGCGGCGAAGACAGCGACCACGAGTTCATCAGCTCGCTGGAGCGGTACGACCCGTCAACGAATGCGTGGGAGGAGGAGGCTGTGGCGCCGATGCTGACGGCACGCACGAACTTCCGCACGGCGGTGCTCGATGGCAAGCTGTACGCGGCGGGTGGCCAGGATGTGGCTGACGGCGCAACTTCCAACCTGGTGGAGCGGTACGACTTGGCTACGAAAGCATGGGAGGAGGTGGCGCCGATGGCAACGCCACACGAGGCTCACGCCGTGGCGGTGCTCGACGGCGAGCTCTACGCTGTGGGCGGCTGCAACGACGACGACGGCCACCTGAGGTACCGCTGGCTCAGCTCGGTGGAGCGGTACGACCCGGCCTTGGACGCGTGGGAGGCGGTGGCGCCGATGGCGGCGGCGCGGCATTCTCCCGCCGTGGCGGTGATCGACGGCAAGCTGTACGCTTTGGGAGGCGACGATGGTGGCTGCCTCAGCTCGGTCGAGCGGTACGACCCGGCAGCGAACGCGTGGGAGGCGGTGGCGCCGATGGCGACGGCGAGGAGCGCTGTCGCCGTGGCAGTGCTAGACGGCAAGCTCTACGCTGTGGGAGGCTTCAGCGGCGACGACGGCGACCTCAGCTCGGTCGAGCGGTACGACCCCGCGACGAACGCGTGGGAGGCGGTGGCGCCGATGGCGACGGCACGGTATGCTCACACCGTGGCTGTGCTCGACGGCAAGCTCTACGCTGTGGGAGGCTTCAGCGGCGACGGCGACCTCAGCTCGGTGGAGCGGTACGACCCCGCGACGAATGCGTGGGAGGCGGCGCCGCCGATGGCGACGGCGCGGAGCTCTCCTTTCGCTGCTTTGATGTAGCAGTAGGCGGCTGGTCCGCGGATTCCACCTTGCAATTTGAGTATAGGGTTTGCGGTGTGAGCGCGCACCCGCTCGTGCGTGCATCACACAGGACACACCGGGCACTGTGCGACTCCTCGGGATGCAAATGGTGGTTGGGGCTATCCGTTTTTTTCGAGACTCTCCGAGAGTGACTGTGACTCTGCTCTCTGGACGACTTCGGACTTGGAGCACTGCTCCCCACACGCCACACAGGTCACAGCCACACGTCACTCGACTCCAGTCTAGGTAAGGTAAGGTAAGGTAAACTTCTCCACACACACGAGGTGGTGGGGCAAGGGGAGGCAACCCTCGCGTCTCCACGTCTAACGACAGGAGCCCCACTCCAGTCTCCACCGCCAAGGCTGATCTGCCGGTCCGCCACGCCGCCGGCGGCGCGCCGCGGTCGAATTCGGTATATCTATGTATTTGTTTTAGGAAGGTGATTAGGCATTAGGTTTTCTCGACCCCCGGTGTTTTTCTTCATTCATGGAGCCAGCCGCGCTGCTCGACGCCGCCCGCCAGGCCGCGCCGGCGCACCTGCAGCGTCCCGAGGCGGGCCTGTCGGTCCGCCACGCCGCCGCCGCCACCCGTCCCGGCTACAGCGTCCTCGAGGTGGGCATCGCCGGCGCCTTCTCCGCCGCGATAGAGGTGGTGGTGGCGCCCGAGGGCTCCGCGGGCTGGCTGCCACGGCGCGTGGTGGTGGGCCCGCACGAGGACGGGGCCGCGTGCCCCGCGTACCTGCCGCACCCGCGGACGCACCTCTTCCGCGCCCTCTCCGCCCACGCCGGCTCCCTCCTCGTGCATCTCGACGCTCTGCCGCCCCCGGAGCGGTGAGCGGGCGGCGCTCTCTCTCCCTCCACGTCCACTCCTAAGCACCTCCTGCGACCTGCCCGCGGCTCGTCCCGCCCTAGCGGCCCTCGCGCTGACGCCTCCTCGGCGGTGGCAGGCTACCACGGCTCATCCGATGGCTCTGCTCTCTCGACGGCCTGTGGACCGAGCGCTGCGCGATGTGCGGCCAGCGACCTGGCGAGCCGGCAACACACCCACGGCGCCTCCTCACACCACGAGCGGCGCGAACAGGTGCGGCCGGCTGCTCGCGCCGGCCGGGCCGAGCAGCACGGTCCTGCTGCCGCCCACCGTCCGCACGCCGCAGCTGCAGGCGTACCATCCGGGCTGCTTTGCCGCTAGCCGTGGGTCGGCCTGCTGGGAGGCGGAGTGGGTGGCGCTGAGGGAGTGATGCGGCGCACAGTCATCGCGGGCGGCGTCAGCGCGTATGCTGTTTGCCCGGGGTCGTTCTGGCCACCGCGCACCGAGAGCTCGAGAAGCCGTGTGGCAAGGGCTGCTGCGGTGGGCAGTGAGGAGCTCCGGGCTACGCCGTCGCGCACCTGCTTCGCGCCGGCAGAGGAGCACCCGCTCGACGCGGAGTAGCTCGAGGCGTGGCGGCGGCGGGGCCGCGCGGGCGAGGGCGGAGCGGGCGCCGCAGCTGGCCGCCGCGCTGAGCGCTCAACCTCGAGGCGGTGCTGCTGTCGGCGGGCGTCCTGAGGAGGGCGTCCTGTCTCTGCACATGGAGCTCGCCGCCGCGAGGCGTCGGGTCGGTGCAGATCTGCATGTGCGCACAGTTATGCTCTGCCTCCCTGAGGTGCAGCTCTCACAGCTGTGGGGGCAAGCATTTCCGTTTTCTCTTGTGTGCGTGACCGTGCTGACTACGGTAAGTGTTCACGGAGTTAGACACTCCCAGGGTCACACGACTGAGATCTGAGTTAGACACTGGGAGTGCGGGGTGGGTGGGCTGTTTCTATAACCATCCAGCAAAGCACATACACCAGCGGCGCACAGTATCTCCCCGTACGCCCGACGCAAAATAACACTATGGTCGCGACGAGAGATATCCCAGGTGCAATCGATTTACCAGGCAACGCGAGATCCCCCCCCACAGAGAACCCCAGAGCCGAACCTTCTCTCCCGTGCGCGACAATCACTCAGACAAGGGTATGCAGCGCCCCCACGGGCGCGCGCCCCCCTCCTCGACCCCCCTGCCTCGCCCCGTCTCCCGCGCGCGCCCTCGGCGTCACGAGAGAGAGGGCCGGGCCCGCCTTGGGCCCGGCTCCCCGACGGGGCGTCAAACTCCGGCGGTTTCAGGCGCGGTTCTCCTTGCCCTCCTTGCCAGGGTCGGCGGCGCCGAGCAGCTTGAGCGGCGTGCGCGTCATCGTCGCGGGCTTGGGCGCCTCCTTGTCCTCGACCTCGACCTTGTCCGCGACGACCGCGGCCGGCAGCGGCGCGGGCGAGGGCTCCTCGGGCACCGCCGGCGAGTCAGCCGGCGTGGGCGAGGGCGAGGGGCAGGGCGAAAAAGCCGTCTCGAAGAGCTCCTTGATGTCGTAGACCTCGCGCGTGTTGTCGCGCGCAAGCTCGAGCGCCGTCTCCGCCAGTGCGCGAGTGGCGACGGAGGTGGCGGTGGCGTCGTCGAGCGCCTTCTTCGACTCGTCGCGCACCTGACCAAAGGGTGGAGGGGGGGTAGGGGGGGGGTGAGCGAGGGTGCGAGCGGCGGCCAGGGTAGCTCGGGAGGCGGCTGAGTGCCTTCTTTGCCAGCTCTTCCGCCTTGTTCGACTTGTCGCGCATCTGGGGGGGGCGGTGGGGGGGGCGCTGAGAGCGAGGGCGACGGCCGCGGAGGCGACGGCCGCGGAGGCGACGGGACGCAAAGGGCCGCCGCGGGGCGCCTCGACGAGGGCGACGTTCGAGGCGCAGAGGCCGTCGAGGGCGTCCTTGGACGCGGCCACCGCCGCGTGGGCCAGCTCCTTGGCGGCGGTGGACTCGTTGCCTGCCATCGCCGCAGTGATCGCCGCGCCGGCCGCCACCTTGGACGCCGCCTCGGCGGCGGCCTCGGCGGCCTCGGCGGCGGCCTCGGCGGCGGCCACGTCGGCGCGCGCCTGTCGGGTTCGGGGGTTCGGGGGGGGGGGGGGGGGGGAAGGGAAAGGGGGGGAAAGGGGGTTGTTAAGGGGTAGGGCCCGGGCCGGGGGGTTGGGGGGGCCCCCCTGGTCCCCCATAACAGGGGGGGGGGCGGTCTTTGGGGGCGGTCTTTGGGGCGGGGGGGGGGGGGGGGGGGCTACAAAAGTGGCGGGGCCCACAAAAAAACCCGGGCGGCCCCCGATTGGCACCCACCCCCAGTGTTTCAAAGGCCCGGTTGAACCTCTTCCCTATTATTGAAAGTAGCAACCGGGTTTGTCCAACCACTCTCCGAATGGGATTTTCTGCCCTGCCGCCTGTCGCGGCCCCGCCTGCCTCCCGGGGCCCGCCCGGCCGTGCCATCCGCCGCCGGACCGCCCGGCGGGTCCAACCCGAAGCGGGCGACCGGCCGTTCGCACCGCTCGGCCGGCGGGGCGAGCCCCGCGGCCCTCGATCGCTCGCCCCGGGACGTGGCCCGACCGGCCCACGCGCACGTCCTGGCCTCTACCGCCGCTTTCGGCGGCGCAATTTGCGCCTTCATCGCTCTCTGGATCCTCCTGGCACCCATCGGACTCTTCCCGACGGTCGGCGGCACCCACTCCGTGCACTTTGAGTCAGACTCGCTCTTCGGCAGGCACGCTCTTCGGCAAAAAGTCGCCGCCGGCCGTTCACGCCGAGCCAGCCAGTTGCCGGCTCGCACGGCAGCCTCTTCCTCTCGACCAGCCTCAACTTCGACACGGTCATCATTTTGTCGCTGCGTGCTCGTGGCGAGCCGGGCGGCGGTCAAAGTTTGCCCAGACGAGCGCCAGGCGATAGCAAGGTCTCTGTTCGCCCTGTGCATGTCAGGCCAGGCTGCAGTGGGGCACTACCATCGTGCTACGCTGTTGCAGCCTGACCTTTCCCACTGTGCACAGCCGCCAGAGCACCACCACCGCCCGGCATCGTGTCACGGCGAGCTCCTTCTGCACCCGTTCGCGAGGCTCTTGCGCTGGCACACTTCGGCCTTCCGCTGCTCGCGTTCGGCGAGATCTTCTCCGCACTCCTGCCACGGTGATGTCGCCACACACCTTCTGGCCGGCCTGAGCCATGCGGACTCGACCTCTCTCCCTCTCTGGTGCACGCCACGGGCCGCGACGGCTGCTGGCAGCCGGCCGGCGTGAGGAGGCAGTTTGCCGGCACAGTCGAGTTGGAGTATCCGCTTCTTGATGCTTCTGCGGTCAAGCTCGACCTTATGTGACATGATATGCCACAATAATGCATGCTCTCACCCCTCTAAGTGTCGAAGTTTACCGGTGACTCTCCGGTGGCCCGATAGTACCGTGTGCCTTTCTTCAAACGAACGCGCTTCGAGGTTCGACAATCGCTAAGCTGCTTATGGGGCACCGCTGCGACTCCCTTGGGGATGCCTGAGGCCACCCCAAGCACTCCCTAAGCCTTACGTGGACGATTTCAACCCTACTCTGTGTTTGTTCGTCTACGCACATTAGCAACTTTGTGCTCATGTCAACGCCACGCCAGCGCTAGCCCATTCAACCCCGCCCCATTGGGGGCGGGGCCGTCAAGGGCCTCACTCTGTCCCTATCATTGAAAGTAGCAACCGGGTCTGTCCAACCACTCTCCGAATGGGATTTTCTGCCCTGCCGCCTGTCGCGGCCCCGCCTGCCTCCCGGGGCCCGCCCGGCCGTGCCATCCGCCGCCGGACCGCCCGGCGGGTCCAACCCGAAGCGGGCGACCGGCCGTTCGCACCGCTCGGCCGGCGGGGCGAGCCCCGCGGCCCTCGATCGCTCGCCCCGGGACGTGGCCCGACCGGCCCACGCGCACGTCCTGGCCTCTACCGCCGCTTTCGGCGGCGCAATTTGCGCCTTCATCGCTCTCTGGATCCTCCTGGCACCCATCGGACTCTTCCCGACGGTCGGCGGCACCCACTCCGTGCACTTTGAGTCAGACTCGCTCTTCGGCAGGCACGCTCTTCGGCAAAAAGTCGCCGCCGGCCGTTCACGCCGAGCCAGCCAGTTGCCGGCTCGCACGGCAGCCTCTTCCTCTCGACCAGCCTCAACTTCGACACGGTCATCATTTTGTCGCTGCGTGCTCGTGGCGAGCCGGGCGGCGGTCAAAGTTTGCCCAGACGAGCGCCAGGCGATAGCAAGGTCTCTGTTCGCCCTGTGCATGTCAGGCCAGGCTGCAGTGGGGCACTACCATCGTGCTACGCTGTTGCAGCCTGACCTTTCCCACTGTGCACAGCCGCCAGAGCACCACCACCGCCCGGCATCGTGTCACGGCGAGCTCCTTCTGCACCCGTTCGCGAGGCTCTTGCGCTGGCACACTTCGGCCTTCCGCTGCTCGCGTTCGGCGAGATCTTCTCCGCACTCCTGCCACGGTGATGTCGCCACACACCTTCTGGCCGGCCTGAGCCATGCGGACTCGACCTCTCTCCCTCTCTGGTGCACGCCACGGGCCGCGACGGCTGCTGGCAGCCGGCCGGCGTGAGGAGGCAGTTTGCCGGCACAGTCGAGTTGGAGTATCCGCTTCTTGATGCTTCTGCGGTCAAGCTCGACCTTATGTGACATGATATGCCACAATAATGCATGCTCTCACCCCTCTAAGTGTCGAAGTTTACCGGTGACTCTCCGGTGGCCCGATAGTACCGTGTGCCTTTCTTCAAACGAACGCGCTTCGAGGTTCGACAATCGCTAAGCTGCTTATGGGGCACCGCTGCGACTCCCTTGGGGATGCCTGAGGCCACCCCAAGCACTCCCTAAGCCTTACGTGGACGATTTCAACCCTACTCTGTGTTTGTTCGTCTACGCACATTAGCAACTTTGTGCTCATGTCAACGCCACGCCAGCGCTAGCCCATTCAACCCCGCCCCATTGGGGGCGGGGCCGTCAAGGGCCTCACTCTGTCCCTATCATTGAAAGTAGCAACCGGGTCTGTCCAACCACTCTCCGAATGGGATTTTCTGCCCTGCCGCCTGTCGCGGCCCCGCCTGCCTCCCGGGGCCCGCCCGGCCGTGCCATCCGCCGCCGGACCGCCCGGCGGGTCCAACCCGAAGCGGGCGACCGGCCGTTCGCACCGCTCGGCCGGCGGGGCGAGCCCCGCGGCCCTCGATCGCTCGCCCCGGGACGTGGCCCGACCGGCCCACGCGCACGTCCTGGCCTCTACCGCCGCTTTCGGCGGCGCAATTTGCGCCTTCATCGCTCTCTGGATCCTCCTGGCACCCATCGGACTCTTCCCGACGGTCGGCGGCACCCACTCCGTGCACTTTGAGTCAGACTCGCTCTTCGGCAGGCACGCTCTTCGGCAAAAAGTCGCCGCCGGCCGTTCACGCCGAGCCAGCCAGTTGCCGGCTCGCACGGCAGCCTCTTCCTCTCGACCAGCCTCAACTTCGACACGGTCATCATTTTGTCGCTGCGTGCTCGTGGCGAGCCGGGCGGCGGTCAAAGTTTGCCCAGACGAGCGCCAGGCGATAGCAAGGTCTCTGTTCGCCCTGTGCATGTCAGGCCAGGCTGCAGCGGGGCACTACCATCGTGCTACGCTGTTGCAGCCTGACCTTTCCCACTGTGCACAGCCGCCAGAGCACCACCACCGCCCGGCATCGTGTCACGGCGAGCTCCTTCTGCACCCGTTCGCGAGGCTCTTGCGCTGGCACACTTCGGC